TCTTTTTGCAGCTACTTGAAAATCACCAGGAGAAAGCACCACAAGGAGTCAGGAGGCATTGATGTTCTTTGATGCTAAGCCAGTATAATAATTTGTGCTGAGCCACATGCCTGGAAGCAGGTTTACAAGCAGCAGTTGTAATGTTGTGATGGCTTAATGCCTGGCTCAATTGGTAGTCAGCCTCTGAGTCAGAAGGCTGTGGGTTCAAGTCCTCACATTGGGACTTTGACCTCACAGTCTATTCTGGGCTGGCACGCCAGCCAGCAATGCTGGATGGGAGCACCGGACTATCAGACACATCGTCCTTTGGATGAAATGTTAAACTGAGCTCCCCGTCTGTGTCTGTTCAGGTGGATAGTAAAGATACAAAAGCACTACACGAAAAAAGGGAGTTTTTCTCTCCTGATGTCCTGGCCATTTATCTCCCAGATAAATTCAGTCACTCACTTCATGCCTATTTGCAGGTTGTTGATGTGTGCAAATTGTCTGCTGTGTTCATCTAAGAACACACAGTCACTACACTACAGGGAATCCTGTGAAGCGCTTTGAGACATCCTCCTGGCGTGAAAGGCGCTGTACCAAATGTAAAGATTATTATTATTTGCCAGTTAGCAGTCCACATACATAAACTATCAAGCTTTCCATAAAACCATTGAAATTTATAGCATAGAAAAAGGTCATTCAGTCCATCATGTCTGTGCCGCTCCTTCAAGAGCAATCCTTTCAGTCCCATTGACCTACACTGTTCTGCACACTCCTCATTTTAAGCTATTTATCTAGTTCTGGCTTGAAAACTAACATACATTCTGTCTTAATCACCGCTCCTGACACGACATTCCATATCCTAACCACTCCATGGGTAAAAAAATCTCTCCTAACCTCCCCATTTGCTCGTTTACTAACTATCTCACATTGATGCCCTCCAGTCACTTAGTCACAAAATAATCTCTCGCTGTTGACTTGTTCAATCTTTGTTGATTTTGATTCTAATAAATAATCAACATTAATTAGGTCTGTGTTCATGAACATTGCGTGTGTGTGGGAGAGCGTGAAATATGTGTGTGGTAGTGGATGGAATGAATTCAAGCGAAGGAGGAGAGTGGAGGGTCTGTAAGTGTGTGAGTGAGGAAGAGCGCGGAAGGTGTGAGTGGGTGGGGAAGAGGGCAGGGGGTGTGAGTGAGCCCCTCCTGTGACTTTCCCCGCAGTATATATGAATGGTAATTTTTATACTTCTCACGCTCAACAGGCTATGTTGTCGGTGCATTGCTGAGTGTAACAGGCAACAACAGGCAATGTGTAAGGCATTCCAGGTCGGGGGTCACATAAAGGATACTCAGACCTGAACCTGCGCATGACGGGAGAGAGGGAAGAAGGGAGAGAGGGCGAGGAGAGAGGGAGGAGGAGATGGGGGGAGGAAGGGGGAAAGAGGAGAGTGAGTGAGAGGAGAGTGAGGAAAGGAGAGTGAGGGAGAGGAAAGTGAGGGAGAGGAGGGGGGGAGGGAGAGAGGGGGAAGGGGGAAAGACGGGAGGAGGAAAGAAGAGAGAGGGAGGGAGGAGTAGGAGAGTAGGTAGATGGAAAAATAGGGAGGGGCGGGTAAGAGGATGAGGAGAGGGGATTGAGGAGGAGGAGGAGGGGGGAGTTGGAGAAGGAGGGAAGGAAAATAAGCAGTCTGCACCCTCCCCCACCCAACACACACACACACACCAAAACTAAGACTGGATTTAAGAAGCTTCCAATATCCTACCTGCATGCTGCTGAAATTTGAAGATGGTGATATTAAGGTTTAGAGCATGGAGTATTTAGGCCTGAGGGAGTGGATGGTGGGGGGTTGGAGGGGGAGAATAGTTATAGGAAGCTACTATACTGTCTGGTTCTGAGAGATTACATACATACACTATCTATCTCTCGATACCACATGTGAGCACACAGCCTTGAATTAATATCTCCCTGGTGGGCTTATTTGAAGATTGCCATTAAAATGCAGGCTCAGCCAGGGGACTCAGCCCAACTTTTCTTTCTAGGTCAATTTGCTAATCAAATATTCGCTGTCTGACCTTGCAGCATTTGATGTGTTCTCGCGCGTACGGTGCTGGTTGAGGCTTCACTGTCGGTGCTCCTCACAGCTTGGCTCGGACAGCAAGGTAAGAAGGTATAATAATAATAAAAATAATCCTTGTATTTGATATAGTGCTTTATCACATTATTGAGACGTCTCAAAGCTTCACGGAATATATTGTAAAATCAATTGACTGTATTTTGTGGGCGAAATGCGGCAGCCAATTGCGCACAGCAATGTCTCCGCCAATCGATTAACAACCAGGTTCCTACTTACTGCTGGGTAAACTGAGATGTGTGGTGTAAGGAATCTTGCCTAAGGTTTCGCCCCCCGGGAATCGAACCTGGGTCTTCTCAACAGCAACAACAACTTGGATTTATATAGCGCCCTCCACGCTGGATGGCGTCTCAGAACGCTTAACCTTCCCCCACCCTACCCCCGGTGCCGAGCCAGGGGGAGGGTGGAGGAAGGTGACCAAAGGCACAGTCAAGAGAAAGGTCTTCAGAAGAGACCTGAAAATAGGAAGAGAGGGGACGAGGCGAAGGGAGTGAGGAAGGGAGTTCCAGAGCCTCGGGTTACATGCCTTGACTTACATGACAAATTTTTTCGCTGATTCCAGAATTTCATTTTGACCGAAAATGACGTGTCTTTGGTCTCTTCACCATTCTCATATGATGTTGACAAAACCCCATTTGATCTCCAACTCGAGCCTATTGACCTGCAATGTGATCCATTGCTTGCGGAGCAATTCAAATCAGTGCCGCTTCCCAGTTTTTACGCCTCTTAATGAATATACCTTTCCAAAAATAAAGGCTCATGCCCGGAAGGTACTTGTGCTGTTTGGATCAAAATGCATATGGAAGGAGACATTTTCTGTGATGAAATTCAATAATTCAAAATCCAGATCTGTGATGACTGATGACCACCTTGCAGCAGTACTCTGCATTGCAACAACGGAGACAATGCTTGACTTCAGTTGTCTGGTTAACCCACATCAGCGCTCTCATTCATCCCATGAAATGAGCTTCTCACATTCTCATCAAAATGTGAAAAAATAATTTTAATGAATATCAATTGTATATACTTTATTTTGTGTATGTACAAGTGTAAGACGTGATTTTGAGCTATTATTAAGCATTTGCATCTATAGCAAGTGTGTGGGCCGCTACCAAAACTCGTGAAGTGGCCGCCAGACAAAATAATGGGCCCAACCCTGGTTTACACAATATCAATTCCAAGTCCTGACTCAGGGCTTAAACAACAACAACAACAACTGGTGCAGCCCCCGACTGGGCCTGGCTGACCACAAGTGAAACCAGTGCTGTGTGAGAGGGAGTCTGACCACAGTGTGAGCCACAGGCTGAGCTGAGGGGCGTGGCTCCCCACAGACTGGCAGGGCGGAGGGCGTGGCTCCCCACAGACTGGCAGGCCGGGGGGGCGTGGCTCCCCACAGACTGGCAGGGCGGGGGGCGTGGCTCCCCACAGACTGGCAGGGCGGGGGGGCGTGGCTCCCCACAGACAGGCAGGGCGGGGGGGCGTGGCTCCCCACAGACAGGCAGGGCTGGGGGGCGTGGCTCCCCACAGACAGGCAGGGTGGGGGGCGTGGCTCCCGACAGGCAGGGCGGGGGGGGCGTGGCTCCCCACAGACAGGCGGGGCGGGGGGGGGCGTGGCTCCCCACAGACTGGCAGGGCGGGGGGGCGTGGCTCCCCACAGACAGGCAGGGCGGGGGGCGTGGCTCCCCACAGACAGGCGGGGGGGGGCGGAGCTCCGCGGGCTGTCAATCACTGCGCGTGCGTCCCCACGCACGGCTGAAGCCGGGCAGCGCGTGATGCGTCAGTCAGTCTGTGTCTGTCCGCTGAGGAAGTGCAGAGGAGGAGAGGCTGAGGCTGGTGTAACACAGCAGGTAAGGCACTGTGTAACTACTGCACTACACCAGGTAACAGGCTGTGCAACTACTGCACTACACCAGGTAAGACACTGTAACTACTGCACTACACCAGGTAAGAGGCTGTGCAACTACTGCACTACACCAGGTAACAGGCTGTGCAACTGCACTACACCAGGGAAGAGGCTGTGCAACTTCTGCACTATACCAGGTAACAGGCTGTGCAACTACTGCACTACACCAGGTAAGACACTGTGTAACTACTGCACTACACCAGGTAAGAGGCTGTGCAACTACTGCACTACACCAGGTAAGACACTGTGTAACTACTGCACTACACCCGGTAAGAGGCTGTGCAACTACTGCACTACACCAGGTAAGAGGCTGTGCAACTACTGCACTACAACAGGTAAGAGGCTGTGCAACTACTGCAGTATACCAGGTAAGAGGCTGTGTCATTACTTCAATATACCAGGTAAGGGGCTGTGTCACTACTGCACTATACCAGGTAAGAGGCCGTGTCACTACTGCACTATACCAGGTAAGAGGCCGTGTCACTACTGCACTATACCAGGTCAGAGGCTCGGTAACTAGTGCATTATACCAGGTCAGAGCTTGGTAACTAGTACGTTATACCAGGTCAGAGCTCGGTAACTAGTGCGTTATACCAGGTCAGAGCTCGGTAACTAGTGCGTTATACCAGGTCAGAGCTCGGTAACTAGTGCATTATACCAGGTCAGAGCTCGGTAACTAGTGCATTATACCAGGTCAGAGGCTCGGTAATGAGTGCAACACAGCTGATAAAAGACTGTAACTCATGCAGTAAGTAAGAGGTTGCTGTAATTAGTGTAATACAGCTAGTAAGATACTGTGTAACTAGTGCAATACAGCTGGTAAGACTGTCTCTAGCTAGTGTAATACAGTAGATGGGAGACTAACCGATGCAAAGCAGCAAATTAGAGAGAGAGAGAGTGTACGTGTGTGTGTGTGTGTACCTAGTGCAATTTAACCCAGCATAGTATATAGCAACAACAACAATGTGCATTTACACAGCGACCTTCGTGCGGGGTAGCGTCTCAGAGCAATGAACAGTGATGGAGCCTGCCGAGCCACGGGGCGGTGACCATAGTTATAGTCAAAGAGGAAGGTCTTGAGGCGTGATCTGAAAATAGGAAGGAAGGGGCAATGCGGAGGGTTTGAGCAAGAGTGTTCAAGAGTTTCGGACGTAATTGTTTAAAGTGCGGCCACTGATAGTGGAGAGGAGGACACGAGGAATAAGGAAGAAACCAGAGCCAGACGAGAGGAGGCCGAGGGTGTTGGCGTGGGGAATAATCAGGTCTGAGAGGTAGGGCGGTGCCAGGGTGTGAAGGCATTTGAGGATAAATAGTGAGCATAGCAAAGTAGCAGACACAGAACCTTAGTTTAGCTGGCGTTGTGCTTGTGGTATGTATGTGACTGCCGAGGCATTGCAAATCTTTCCCCTATAAAATCCACTCTCACTACCCTTGAGCCATGAAGTGAATGACCAATTTTATCGGGGGAAGTTGCATGAGAATCTTTTTTTTAAAAGCTACCGCTAAAAGTTGTATTTTTTTTTAGGTGGGGTGGTGGGGGGGTATTAAAATTTGCCAAACTTTTTGTGCGCAGAGAGGTACTGAGCATCATCGCTTGTGAATCCTCTGTCGCTGTACTTTTGAAAAGAGCAGGCTCAGTGTTTGGAGAAAAAGAGTTTGCAAGTGGTTTAGTTTTCTGTACGGCGAGAGAGAAAGGAGGAAGGGAAAGTGAGAGGGTGGGGGATAGGGTTAGGAAAGAGAGTCAGAAAAGCCGGATGTTAATCTGTTTTTTATATATGTAGGATTTAATCTTGCTATTCAGTGATGTATTCAGCCGGTATGTTATTACAGTGATGTATTTAGTCCTCCCAATATCGCTCTGTCTCCCGCGCTCTGTCCTGTACAAACCCCCAGTTGTATGATGTTGCTCTCATTCACCATCCCACTGCCTTAATCGTGTTACAACGATCTTTCACACTTGACACAGTGCCCACCACGTCAAAACGCTTCATAGGTAATTTCTGCAAAGAGTGTGTTTTGCAGGTGAACACTGCAGCCAGTTTGCACATTGCAACGTCTCCGCAGACAGTCATGAAGTGAGCGAGTGACAAATTTTATCTGGGCCACTGATTGTGGAGTTTGCAAGCTGTTTAGTTTTCTGCATGGAGGGAAAGAAAGGAGGAAGGGAAAGTGAGAGGGTGGGGGATGGGGTAAGGGAAGAGAGAGAGAGACAGAAAAGACGGATGGTAACTCAGAGAAACTCCTTTCCCTTTTGCGAAAGATCTTTTACCTCGGTTTTAAAGCGCTCCAAGACGCTATCCTGCATGAAGGGCGCCATGTAAATGCAAATTGTTGTTCATAATAATAATAATCCTTGCATTTGATATAGTCCCTTATCATGTTGTCGAGACATCTCAAAATGCTTCACAGGATATACTGTAACGTGGAGTGACTGTATTTTGTGGGTGAAATGCAGCAGCCGATTGCACATAGCAGCATCCCACAAACAGTGATGGAATGAGTGACCAATTTTATTTGTCGGCATGGTTTGCCGGGACACCGGGAGAGAAAAACTCCCTTCTCTGTTCGGATTGTGCTGTGGGATCTTCAATGTCTCATCCGAAGGACGGCACTTCCGACAATTCAGCGCACCCCCAGCACTTCACTGGAGTGTCAGCTGAGACTGAGCTCAAATCCGCGACATGGGGACCGTTTGACACCAATTGCTACAGATATCGATAGACTTCTTACAAATTCAAATAAATGCGGAGGAATTAATGTTGGTTGCCATGGTGATCGCGTCCGCTGTTGTCTTGAACAAGGCTTGTTTGGTCTTTGCTGTTGCGGCTGGGTGGCGGCTGAGAGGATTTAACAGGATTCTCCTGTGTGAGTGGTTTGTCAGGTGTGGACTGCAGCGCTCGATCATAGAATCTTACCGCACAGAAGGAGGGGAGGTCCATCGTACCCGCGACAGCTCTTTGAAAGACGATGACAAACTTGTGTGCAACATTAACGCTTTCTGATCCAGATCTGAGATCTGCCTGTCATTTCTCAACCTGCCTATTACAGGGCACTGTCTCTGTTCACCTGCTCACGTAGCTTACCTTCCTTACACTGTCTGTGGTTGTACGTTTCCCTCTCTGCACCACTTTGTATGTGTGTGTCTCTTCTCTATCCACCAATACCTGCCTGTGCCTCTCTGTCTGCTGTGTGTGCGTCGCTGCCGCTACCTCTGTCTACCTGTATTATACAAATGTAATGTTATGTGTGTTTCTCTCTCTGTAGTGTGTGTGTGTGTGTCTCAGTCTATCTCTCTACCTCGGTCTACCTGCGTGCACGTGTGTGTGTGTGTGTGTCTCTCTCTGTACCTCTCAGACTGTATATTTCTCTGCCTCTTTTGCACATGCCTGTGTGTATATCATGGCGTTGTATGGTTAAGTGTTTATAGAGACATTCAACCTAAGTGAAAGGTGTTAATTAAATGTAATTGTCATTGGAGCCTCAGAAAGGTTTCTGATAACAACAAATTACATTTAAATAGTGCATTTCACATTGGGAGGTTGTCCCAAGGTGCTGCACAGTCAAGGATTTGCACCCGAACTGGAGGTTGGGATCAGGAAAGAGGGTGGGGGGGGGGAACACAATACAATGCAGGTGTTGTACATTACCCATTATTGTCAATGGCCGTTGGGGGCAGAGATTAACTGCCAGAAAGTGTTACCTGTGGTCATATATCCAGCACCTGGAATCCACCTTGATCGGTCGGCAGAGAGTAAAGCAGCTGCTGCTTAAACTCCACACCTCCAATTGGTTGAACCATTGCTCAATGGGAAGGGATGTGTGCCCGAGCTTCAGACAGGAAGATGATGGCAATGGAGTCCTGTAGCTCAGTGGTTAGAGCACTCGCTTTGCAAGCGAGACACCTGGGTTCAATTCCAGGCAGAGGGTGAAACCTTGGGCAAGTTTCCTTACTCCACACACCTAATAATAATCCCTCCAAAACAATAATAAATTGGTCATTTTCAATCCACGACTGTTTGTGGGACATTGCTGTGCACAATTGCCTGCTGTGTGCACCCACAAATATACAGTCAATTCACTTTACAGTCTATTCTGTGAAGCGCTTTGAGACGTCTAGAAGATGTGAAAAGCGCTATATCAAATGCAAGGATTATTATTATTAATGCTCTCAAACATTTTGTGCTGAGATGTGTTGCCCAACGTGTCGCAGGGAGTTTCTGCTACCGACCATCCACCTAGTGAGAGCTCAAACCCGTGCTTGTTGGTTGTCAAATGATCAACTAGTGACTATCCTCCAGAGGGGAGGGGGGGGGCAGCGAAGGTAAGTGGGTTCTCCTTGGATCTGAGCTGGCTTCAACACAACATGTTTGGCAACAGAATGTCATACTTGAGTCAGTCCTCTGTGATGGTCTCTAGTCCGGTTCCTGAGCCAGGTGGGTCTGCAGTGTTTCAGAGCACTGCTGATGATAGCCCAGCCCAGCCTGGCTCATCATTGTGGAGTCCTGTAGCTCAGTGGTTAGAGCACTCGCTTTGCAAGTGAGAGACCTGAGTTCAATTCCAGGCAGAGGGCGAAACCTTGGGCAAGTTTCCTTACTCCACACAGAGCCTAATAATAATCCCTCCAAAACCCAAAACAATAATAAATTGGTCATTTTCAATCTACGACTGTTTGTGGGACATTGCTGTGCGCAATTGGCTGCCGCGTTTGCCCACAAATATACAGTCAATTCACTTTACAGTGTGCTCTGTGAAGCGCTTTGGGACGTCCTCCCAACATGAAAAGCGCTATATCAAATGCAAGGATTATTATTATTATTATTATCAGCAGGACCTGGAAGAGCAGACCAGTCCCTGGGGGCAGGGAATTCTCCCACTCAGCTCCTGTTAACCCTGCAAACCAAATCCGTAATGGTTAGCGTAGGATTGTCCTAGTGGGACAATCAGGGGGAAAGCTTACCAGACAGCGATATCAATGGCAAACAATGCCATTTTAGGTGGTTCGACTCCAGCAGTCACCAAAAAGCACTTAGCTCTCACCAACCTGCGCCTAATATTCTCCAGAATTAGGTAAGCAGAGTGTGCCGCTCGGAGCGAGGGAGGAAGAGCACATTCCATTCCAGACGCGTGTGAGTGGGATGCATAGAACTCTGTCTGGTTTAGATACCCTGAACCACAGTGATAGGTTTCTGTGTGTCAGACCCCTGGCTGACCAAAAAAGACGCTTAAAAAATCCAGCAGTTATGCCTGTAACTCCTACAGTGGGGATCTCTGAGGCTTGACCGTTGCCAGCGTGTGCCTAAACTCTAGGGTTTTAGGTAAGTAGGATGTGTGTATCCTTCAGGGAGAGAGCGAGAGAGGGACACCACACGCCACATAAACAGAAAGCCTGTGTACGGGAACCTCGGTTGTTTTGGAAACTCGAGCATGGTTTCAGGGTGAGTCAGACACATACTTGACTGACCAAAACGAAGATTGGCATTGGTTGATCTTTCCTCTGGAAGTTTCTAGAAAGTGTATGTGTGGGCATGCGTGTGGCCTGCAGCAATGTTGCAACTATCGATGTGCATTGATTGCCTCCGAGGTCGCTGGAAGGTTCTGGAATGGACACTTTTAGCATGCACTGTGCTAACAGATAGCAGGGAGGGTGTCAGGCTGTGACCTTAAACTCCCCGCGTGTGTGTGTAGTGACCTTTCTCCACGCTCGTGCCTCTCCTGTGCTTGACACCATTACGTGGGTCTCTGGATCAGATTACAGTCTCGTTTCGTGGGCTCTATGCTGGCAGCCTCCGGTGTGAATAGTTTGGAGACTTTGGATGCTCACTGTTAGCCTGGCTCAACCTTCTGACTCCAGCGCTCTCACCTCTGAATCAGAAGGATGTGGGTTCGATCCCACATCAGGGAATTTGAGCTCAAAGTCCAGGCTGACTCTCCAGTAAGTGCTGGGGGGAGAGTCGCATTGTCAGAAGGACTGTCCTTCAGATGAGATGTTAAACCTCACCCCCCATCTGTGCCTGTTCGGGGGGACATTAAAGATCCCACGACGTTATTGGAAAAGAGAAGGGAGTTGGAGTTTCACCCCTGGATAACATCGCTTACTCACTTCATGTTGCTGTTTGTGCAACAAATTTGTCTTTGACCTAATCTTAACAAACTGTCTTTGGTTCTAACTTTGACTTTCAATTATCACATTCATCTACAAAATACACAGTTCACTGCACTTTACAGTAAAATCTGTAAAGCGCTTTGAAACGTGAAAAGGCGCAAAACTGGCGTTATTTATTATTGAATCTCCCGCACCCCCCTCCAACCCTCCTCTCTCCTCCTCCGCCCCCCCCCCCCATTCCTCCCTTCCGCCCTTTTCCCGTCCATTCCCTTCCATCTCTCTCTCCTTCTCTCCCTTCCTCTCCCTCCCTCCCTCTCCCTTCTTTCTGTGCAGAAGGTTACTGTCTAAACCCCTGTGCTGCCCTTGAGACAGGACCGATATTAGTATCTTGAAGCCTGGCTGAGTGTGGGAAGGGGTATGTGGGGGTGGAGAAGATATTTCTGCCTGATTTCTTGGGACGTCCTACTGATGTGAAAGACGTTATATAAATGCAATTTGTTGTTCCAGCTCCGGGTCCACCCCCTTTACTTATGTTGTCGCCCCACAGCTTCTTGGGAGGCGGGATGGCCCTGTATTGATCCCACACACACAGACTCACAGCCGTGCGGGGAGAGATGGATTTCACCAAAAAAGGTGAGTGTGAGGTCTTAATGTGTCTGCTCTTAATATTGCATGTGTGCGTGCGCCCCTGTGGAACATTGTGTGCGCCTGCAGTGTTGTGCGTGTAATATTGTGTAGTGTGTGTGAGTGAGAGAGAGTGTGTGCGTGTAATAGTGCTCGCGCGTGTGTGCGCAATAGTGTCCGCGTGTGTGTAATAGTGTGCGCGTGTGTGTAATAGTGTGTGCGTGTGTGTGTAATATTGTGTGTGTGTGTAATATTGCCACTCTCTGTTTAGGATCTGTGGAATATTCAGTAACCAGCTGCTCTCTGACAGGAAATGTTACTATATCAGATCGGAGGCCTGTTTAAGGTTTGACTTGTAGCCTCGATTTAGCTACCAGCCAGGCTCAGTCTCGCACGTCGCCTCTCGAGCGAGAAGCTTGCGATTTCCAGGGGTAATAATCCCTCAAAATAATTTGGTCACTCAATCCACGACTGTTTGTGGGATATTGCTGTGTGCAATTGGCTGCCGCGTTTCACCAACAAAATATACAGTCAATTCACTTTACAACATGTTCTGTGAAGCACTTTGAGATGTCTCAATGACATGATAAGGTGCTGTATCTTATGCAAGGATTCTTATTGTATAAGGATTGTTATTGTATGTTATAAATGTGGTCGGTTGTTAAAAACCCATTTTTCAGGTTCAAAGGTCAAATGTCACGGGGGTGTTCGCTTTGGGGCGGAGGAGGGAGTGGCCAATCACGTCCATTTTGAAGAGAAGTTGCACGACTCTGTGGTGATGGTGACCCAAGAGGAAGATGGCAGCTTTCTAGTCAAGGTCAGAGATTTGGTCGATGCATGGATGGCATCCTGTCATTTGTTTGCTTTTTCCTCTGTCCCTCCCGTCTCCGTACGGAGGGTGGACACCATTCCGACATTCTGTCGCTAAGCGTGCCATGTCACCTTGGAGCTGACTCAGCTCCGAGGAGACCCCACTTACAGCTCAGGGTCATCCTCCATGCCCCCCAACTCTTGCTCTCCATCCCTCTGGTTCCAAATGCAATTTGTTGTTGTTGTCCATCTGAATAGGGCACAGACGAGACCTCGGTTTAACGTCTCATCCAAAGGTCGGATGTTAAAGATCCCACAGGGATATTTATAGTCCAAGGCGTGACCAGCAATCCTAACGATTAATTGCCTGTTTCCTTTACGGCTGTTTGTGGGGAACTTGATATGCGTCAGTTGGCTGCTGCTTTTGACCACACATTAAAAAACACGGAGTCTTGGGAGTGATCTTTGAGAGCGCTTCAAGACATTTTGGTGTGATAACACTTTGGGTTATAAAAATGCAAATTTTGTTTTTTTTATTGCGATGTAAATTATGCATGTGTCTGCACTGCTCTTTTATCACAATTCCGAAGAACGCCTTCTGATGCAGCCTTCCGCATTGCAGTGGTCTGTCTGAAACTACAATATTCCTTGCGCTTAACAGCCGTGTAGTGAACCAGCAAGGGTTGGTTGCTCACAGCAATGCCAACCTGGCTCAGTCAGTAGTTTCTCTCTCCCAGTGTCCTGGCCCACACATTCTCCAGATAAAATTAGTCACTCAATTCATGGCTGTTTGAGGGACATTGCTGGGTACAAATTGATTGCCAGGTTTACTTATGAAATACAGTCACTGCACTTTACAGTGAAGCATTTTGAGACTTTGCTACGATGTGTTAAGCTGCTGTATCAATAATTATTATCTGTTAGGTGCTTTGAGACATTTGTCTTGCGTAGCTTCAAATGAGGGAGAGTGGAATAGATGGGTATGGGAGATAGTGAGGAATGGGCAATCTATGCTGTTTTAGCTGGTTAAACTGCAGCAATTACCCCAACGCACACTCTGGGGTCCCCAAGCCTTGGCTCTTGCCAACCTGTGCCTAATATTTCCCAGAGTTAGATAATCAGGATGTGTCCCTCCAGGGAGAGAGCGCACATTCCAACAATCTTACTCTGGGATTTCCATGTGTAGGTGGGATGCATAGAATTCTCAGTTTGGCTTGGATACTCTTAAGCATGGGGATGGGTTTCCTATGTGTCAGACACCCGGCTGACCACCCNTCACTCTCCAAATAATATATTTTTTTAAAGACTCGGGTGGAGTATAAACGCCAGCGCAGACAGGTTGGATCTTGTGGCCTGTTTCCCTGCTGTAAAGTCTTTGTTAATCTTTTGAAAGGTACCCTGTCTGTGAGTGTCGTGAAACCCCCACTATTTGTGAACAAAGAAAATCGCACTGTTCTAGTGAACAAAGCCCCCCCACCCCGTGTCCGCCCACATTAAGCATCGGTTAATTCCAGGAGACAGCTTTGGCAGAGTCTTTTGACAAGGTAACAATTTTCCTTGTCAACGACTTGATTAGCTGTGTGTTCTCAGCGACTCAGAAGTAGGCAAAGTTGAAAGCCTCACAAGCAAGAGGACCAGGGTTTGATTCGCAGACAGAATGAAACCATAGGCAAGCTTCTTTATTCTACATGACTGTTTACTTAGCAGTAAGTAGGAACCTGGTTGTTAGTCGATTGGTGGATTGCTTTCCGGGGGTAATAATTCCTTCAAAAAATAATAATAATAATAATTTGGTCACTTCAATCCGCGACTGTTTGTGGGCTGCTGCTGTGCACAATTGGCTGCCATGTTTCGCCCACAAAAATATACAGTCAATTCACTTTACAGTATATTCTGTGAAGCGCTTTGAGACGTCTCAAAGACGTGATGAGGTGCTATATCAAATGCAAGGATTATCACTGTAAAGTGGAGTAACTGTATCGTATGGGCGATTGACCACAAAACTCGCAGTCTCTTCAGAATGATGGCGCCCAAGCCAAAGCAACACTTCCTCCAGTGCTGCGCTGGAGCATCACCTTATCTGCACTGAGTGCTGACTGCACCCTCGCTTGCTTGTTTCCATGCTCTTGCAGGTCGGCTTCCTGAAGATTAGCCACAAGTACGAGATCAGCTTCACTTTGCCAGCCGTCCGCAGCTTGGGCCGGGAGCTGTGTGCCGCCCCCATCCCACATCTTCACTTGAAAGTGGTGGATATCTCCCCTGGCACTGATGGTCAGTTCACAGTCTGTCCCACCCAAGCCCCATCACCGCCCCTTCCTCCCATCACCGCCCCTTCCTCCCATCACTGCCTCTACCTATCCCCCTCATCCCCTCCCATGCACACCTACCATCACCATTCCACCCACCCCCCCCCCTTCACCTATCACAACTCCTGCCCTCCCCCATCCTTACCATACTCCATTGGCGGCAGTAGCTCAGCGAATCACAACATTTTATCCTGGCACGTCAAAGTACCTCACAGGATAATAATAATAATCCTTGCATTTGATATAGCGCTTTTCACATCAGCCGTCGTCCCAAAGCGCTTCACAGAACACACTGTAAAGAGAATTGTGGCAGCTGCTTTGCACACAGCACAATAATGATCCCCCTCACCTGCGCCGTTTCCCAAAACACTAGTTTTATCCAGGAGAAACTCCCTTCTCTTTTGCACATAGCACAGCAGGATCTTTAACGTACACCTGAACACAACACCAAAATTACATTTGTAAAACACCTTTCATGTGGGGAGGATGTCCCAAGATGCTGGAAAGTCAGAGTTTCGGACCCGAGCTTGGGGTTGGGGAGGGTGTAGGGCAGAGGGGGAAGTGGGGAGATCGAAAGCACGGTCGAAGAGGAGGGTCTTGAGATAGGTCCTGAAAGTGGCAAGGGAGGGGGCGAGGCAGAGAGACTGTGGGATGGAGTTCCAGAGGGTGGAGGCAGAATGGTAGGTCCACCTGCCAATAGTGGGACGAGCGAGGCAGGGGATGTGAAGCAGGCTGGAGCCCGCTGAGCGGAGGGTGCGAGCAGGATGGTAGGGGGTTAGGAGGTTGCTGAGGTAGGGGGGAGCAAGGCCATGGAGAGCTTTGAAGGTGAGGACTAGGATCTTAAACTGTATCCTCTGTGTGATGGGAAGCCAGTGGAGTCGGCCAAAGATAGAGGTGATAAGGTCACAGAGCCTGGTGCGGGAGATGACGCAGGCTGCAGCGTTCTGGATGATCTGCACAGGCAAAGACGAGGCCTGGGTTTAATGTCTCATGCGAAGGATGGAACTTTGTGTGTCAGTAACTTGGTTGATAGCACTCTCGCCTCTGAGTCATAAGAGTGTGGGACTAAACTGAGGTCCCATCTGCCTATCCAGGTGGATGTTAAAGATCCCACGGCACTATTTAAATGAAGAGAAGGGAGTTTCCCAGTGTCCTGGCCAACAATCCCCCAAAATAAAATTAGTCACTCACTCCATGGCTGTTTATAGCACGCTGCTGGGTGCAATTTGGTTGCTGTATTTCACCCACAAAATATAAAGATAATTCCACCTTCATCCTATGAAATGCTTTGAAACATCTCAATGATGTGATGAGGCACAAAATTTAAAATAAAAAATGCAAGGATAGTTTTAGCTCCCCCTTGCACTCCCTATCACTGCCCTGGAGGCCAGCCTGGACTATGTGAGTTCAAAGTCCTGACATGGGGGGCTTGAACCCATAGCCTTCTGACTCTGAGGTGAGAGTGCTACTGACTGAGCCAGGCTAACACTTTAACATCCTTGTCCTAGTCTTAAATTGCTCCACTATCACACTGCACTGCAGGTGACAGCCTGGCACAGGTGGTCACGCTCTCATCTGCAAGTCAGGGGCTCTGTGTCCAGATTTATCTTTCCGCGGCAAGGTAATAGCTTCTCAAAAGGAGAATGTTACTAGGCAACAGACATTTTATGGATTGGCACACTGAAGAAATGTACTTCTGAGACGTGTGGTGGAGAGCCCAGATTACTGTATACTTGTTTAAATCTTTCTCTCATTCAACCCTGTCCCTGCCACTCCTCCTCTTAAAAGACCTCCTGGGCTTTCATCCACCAAATATACAGTCAATACATAGGAACAGGACGAGGCCATTCAGCCCCTCGAGCCTGGTCCACCATTCTATAAGATAATGGCTGATCTGTACCTCAACTCCAATTACCTGCTTTTGCCCATATCCCTTGATACCCTTACCTAATAAATATCTATCCACCTCTTTACAGTATATTCTGTAAAGTGCTTTGAGATGTCTCAATGACGTGATAAGGTGCTATGTCAAATGCAAGGATTATTATTATAAGTAAGGTGGCAGAGGTGATGTATTGTGAGTTTTGCTGGGGAAGTAGATGGGCATATGAAGGATAGAGGCTTGAGGGGGGGGTTTGGGGATGGGGCAGTAGATTGAATGGACAGTTTGCTCTGAGAGCCGGAGCTGAATGGCCTCCTTCTGTGCCTTAAACTTCCTCAATTCTGTTCCCTCATGGATTTAAGTTCACGATCAGTCCACTTTGCAGTATATCTTCAAAGCACTTTTGAGACATCACAACGACGTTATAAGGCGCTATATCAAATGTAAGGATCATTATTGCTATTACATAGCTTGCTTGTGACTGCTGATTTCCTCCTTTGCTGCGAGTGATGAGGATTCCCTGCAGGGTGCCAGCAGATTTGTCCCTGAGGGAGGAGCAGCAAGCGGCACTCTTCTCCGGCTCGTCCGTCACGGACGCCCAACATGTCCCGTCTTGAGACCCACCTCTTTCGGTCGTCTTTCCCCTCCTCTCGGCTCCCCGCCCCGACTCGCGTTCCTGGTCAAAAGTCGTGCAGTGCTTCGAGACGTCCTCCCAACTTGAAAGGCGTTTAAGTGTGAACTGTATTATACAAGTGCTGAATTGCTTGCTGTCGGGGCGGTGGCTAAGCCATGTTCACCTCTTGTTGCCTGCAGGTCACAAGGTCAAGTGTGAGTACCTGGCCCACAAGGAAGGGGTGGTCAAGGAAGACCTGAAGTTGACCAGCGAGATGTCTGACAACCCCTGTGTGAAGGTGGTGATACAAGCTCGTGTCCTGGGTACGTGAGCGCTCCGAGGGCAACCACATAGTCAACCTTAAAAAGGGCTTCTGCTTGAGTTTTTGGACAGCAGGGTGTCTGATGCAAATGGAAACCCATCACCATGCTTAAGAGTATTCAAATCAAACTGAGAATTCAATCCATCCCACCTACACATGGAAATCCCAGAGATAGATTGTTGGAATAGAATGCGACTCTCCCTGGAGGGACACAGCCTGTTTACCTAATTCCAGAAAGTATTAGGTGCAGGTTGGCAAGAGCCAAGGCTTGGGGACCGCAGAGTGTATGTTGGGGTAACTGCTGGAGTCTAACCAGCTAAAAACGCAGCTTGCTATTGATAGCACTGTTCGGCAAGCTTTCCCACTGCTTGTCCCTGCTAGGACCATCCTACCCATTAGGGCTTTGGCTTGCAGGGTTAACAGGAGCTGAGCAGGATGACTTCCTACCCCCAATGACTGGTCTGACCTTCCAGGTCCAGCCGATGAGCTAGGCTGGGGTGTGCTGTCTTCAGCAATGCCCTGGAATACTGCGATCTCACCTGGTGCAGACCTGGGACCTTGTTGAAGTTGACAAGTCTCTGATTGGGATTGAGATGCATTCAAATACTTCAGGATAGCAGGACTTGTACATGTGTTCAGGCCTGCGAGAGACATCCCAGAGATTTATTTATGGTACCTGATGCATGAAGCCCATTGCTGTGCTTAAGAGGCTCCACTGGGCCGGACGGGAGAATGGATTAGAGTAGTGAGCAGCAGCAAAGACACCACGAAAATGAGGCCAGTCGGATTTTCATCCATTCCGCCCCCTGCTCTCTGGAACTCCATCCTCGATGTCCGCTTACTTGCTAAAACCCCCTCACCTCATTCCAAGTCCGTCTCAAGACGTCGGAGTCCTGTAATGTAGTGGTTAGCCATTTGTAGAGCACTGCTGTGTGCAATTGGCTGCTGTTTCGCCCACAAAATACACTCCAATTTAAAATATATTCTGTGAAATGCTTTGAGACGTCTCAACAACATGATAAGGCGCTATATCAGTGTGGAAAGAGGAGATCAAATGGGCCGCAGGACTGTCTTCAATCGAATGCTAAGTAGCAGAGCTGGTGCAGTTAAAGGCTGGGTACAATGCTGTATATGAATACGGCTGGCTCCCAGCCAGTTGTCAGCATTGTGTGTGAGAAGGAGATTGCTTTGTTCACTTGAAAGACTTTCTGACAGCAGGAAAACAATTTATTAAACTCCACCCTGGTTTAACTTGTCACAGCCACTAAAAACATCACTGTCAAAATCCCAACCGCATTTATTTATGTATTTATACATATGCCTAATAATAGTAGTAATAATAATCCTTGCATTTGATATAATGCCTTATCAAATCATTGAGATGTCTCAAAGCGCCTCATAGAATGCACTGTAAAGTGAATTGACTGTATATTTTGTGGGCGAAAGACGGCAGCCAATTGCACAATGGCTAACTTGCCATATAGGGGTGATAACTCTGATAACTCATCACAAGTTATCAGAAGTTTACAGTACATATATACAGCGTCTTTCACATCAGGGGGACGTCCCAAGGATGTCAAATGTTTGAACCTAAGCTGGGGGTTGGGTGATGGTGGGGGGGTTGTTGGGAGGTGGTGGAGAAAGACGACTGAAGGTTTGTTCAAAGAAGATGTCTTGAGATGGACCTTGAGGGAGACAAGGGGAGGGGGCAAGGCAGAAGGACTCTGAATGATTGATAAGAAGCAAAAGAAATTAGGAGGACTCATGTAATTTATAAACCCTGTCATTGGGGGGGAGAGAAGTTTAATGGGAAAAGGGATGAAATAGATTTAATAGATGAAAATGATGGGAAGATCCTTATTAATAATAAATAATATAAATCCTTGCATTTGAAAGCACCAGGAAGACGTCCTAAAGCACTTCTTAGGATTTGGGCTTCTGTCCAACAGCAACAACTTGCAAATATATCGCCCCTCACGCAGGGCATCTCCCCTCACGCAGCCATGAAGTGAGTGAGCAGCGTTATATTGGAGTGTATTGGTTCAAAGTCCTGACGTCAGGACTTGAACCCACAGCTTTCTTACTTGGTGGCGAGAGAGCTACCAATGGAGCCAAGCTGGTATTTGACTTGCGAAAACAGTGGGAGTGGTGTTGGTTTAATGGGAGATTGCCCGGTGGGTGGGTGGGTAATGGAAAGGAGAGTCCCTTGTTGCATGAGGTGGTGAAAGCACGACCTCTCTGGTTTTGTCCTGGGTTTGAGATGTAACAGACAGCGGTAGAAAGGAGTACGACAGAGCCCCAGGTAACAGACGGTTAGACCTGTCCTTTCCCACCGCTCAGTAGGCTCCAGCCTGCTCCACGTCCCTCATCCAGTGCTCTTCACCCCCCCCCCCCCTGCCCCTCCCAACCATACCCCCACTGGTGGTTGGGCCTCCAGCTTCTTTGCCTGCACCCTTTGGAACTCCTTCCCACAGTCCCTTTGTCTCGCTCCCTTGCTTTCCTCCTTCAAGGTATGTCTCAAGACCCTCCTATTCGACCGTGTCTTTGGTCACCCTCCCTGTCCTCCATCCCCTATAATCCCAACCACCAGCTCGGGGTGTAATCCTTGGGACCAGCTCCTTGGGACATCGTCCTGACGTGAAAGGCGCTACACATGTAATTTGTTGTCTTGTGTAGCCAGCCACGTCCAGGGTGACACAGGACACTCTATGGTTACTGGTGGCCGCTCACATCATTGTGCTTTGTCACCAGAGCGAGTGTGTCGCATGCCCATCACCCCAGTCCTCCACTGGCTCCGTGTCTCCCAACCAATTCAAGTTCTTCGCCCTCACGCCCAAGCACCCTCCTACCTCACGGACTTGCTCATACCCCGTTCTTCTGCCTGTTCCCCTCCGCTCATCCAACACCTCCCTCGACCTCTCCCTCTGCACCACTCCTAAGCGGCTGAGCCTTCAGCCATTGCAACCCAGCCTCTGGCACTCCCAGCCTCTGGCGCTCGTCCCACTTGCCCCTCTATCTTCAAATCTCACCTGAAGAACTAATTCTGTAACCCCACGTATGGTCGCCTCCCCCTTCTCCTTGGCTCGGTCTCCAATCCTCTCATTGCCATGTAAACAAGCTCTTGTTCTATAAGGACCTCTGGGATTTCTTTTGTTGCCTTTGCTGCCACCTGTTGGCAGAGATGGTGAAGTGCTGCCCTCCTGTTACAAGTGCACATCTATGTATACAATACAAAATGACATCTGTAAAGCATCTTTCATCTCGGGAGGACATCCCAAGGCGCTGAACAGTCAGGGATTAGGACCCGAGAGGGGTGGGATCACGGAGGGTGGAGGGTGGCCGATGGAGGGTCTTGAGACATGCCTTGAAGGAGGCAAGGGACGGAGCGAGGCGAAGGGAATGTGGGATGGAGTTCTAGAGGGTGGGGGCAAAGAGAGGCTGAAGTCCGACTGCTCATGGTGGGCTGGACCGGGTGGGGGACATGGAGTAGCCCAGAGCCTGCCATGACAGGTTGATAAGAGGTTAGCAGGTTGGAGAGGTAGGAGGGGGTAAGGCCATGGAGGGATTTGAAAGTGAGGACTAGGATTTTGAACTCGATCCTCTGAGGGATAGGGAGCCAGTGGAGCCGGGGTGGCACTTTCACATTGCTATGCACAACTAACTCCTGTGTTTTGCTCATAAAATCACAGTCAATCCACTTGACAGTATATTTTGTGAAGCGTTTTGAGACGTCTCAATGATGTGATAAGGCGCTATATTAAATGTAAGGATTATTAAATGTGAGGATGATTATTATATTGGGGGTGGGGAGAGAGACTGCTCTACCGGTTTTTGACTCACCTCCTCTGCTCTGGTTTCAGACCGGTTACATGGGACCCCCATGTTGTTGGAGGGCGTCAAGTGCGTTGGCACAGAACCTGAATACGACTCGGAGCAAAGCGACTGGCAGGGATTTGACTAGACAGCACTGCACAGTCCAGCTAAGCTGCGAGTGACTCTGAGCAGCTCAACCATCGAGGGAAGGGACCCTGGCGCAGATCTGATTGAACTCGAGTTCGGTTGAAGACATTTTTTTTTCCTCGTTTTTGTTCTTCTGAGATACAGTATTACCTCTTACAATTTCTTTTGAAATTTTTTTTAAACAAAGCAAAAATAAACTAGGGGCAAATAATGACTGTTTGGTGGTGGCAGGAAGGAGGGGGCACAGAGAGAAATCACTCGATTTTGTGTTTTTTCTTAGCACGTTTCTTAATCCGGAATTTTGAAACGCTGCTCTGGACTCCTGAGTTTCCCGCCTGTTGGAGTGACATTCCCGATGGTTATAAGGAAGGTGCCCTTCACCTCTCTCCCAACCTCCCCTCCCCCCCCAAAAAAACCCCAGTACTTTCTTAATTAAGAAATCCTGTTAAGAAATAGCGTTAAGTTGACTGCTGTGCCTATCTATGTGTGATGACGGTGGGGCTCTGTCAGCCAGTGAGTATGTGCTACACGTTAGGCTCAGAATGTTGTGTGGGGCCAGCGTGGAATGTCTTTATTAAATCATATCATAGCAGAAAATAAATCCACCTTTTGGACTCCCTATCGCTGAATGGATCAATTTCAAGTTTCTCACACTCGTGTGCAAATCACTTCACTCCCTGTCAAGAAGGGTCAGTTGACGATTGGTGTGATCGAAGAAGTAGGTTTTAAGATAATAATAATCCTTGCATTTGATACAGCGCCTTATCACCTCTTTCACAGTGTGTACTATAAGGTGAATTGACTATATTTTGTGGGTGAAACACAGCAGCCAATTGCGCACAGTAGTGTCCCACAAACAGTGAAACAGTGAGTGATTACATTTTTTGAAGGGATTATTATCCTCTGAAAAACCGATCTGCCAATCAACTAACAACCAACTACTTGCTGCTAGGTAAACAGAGGTATGTGGGCTTAAGGAAAGTTGCCCAACATTTCACCCTGGTGGGAATCGAACCTAGGCCCTCTCACTTGCAAGGCAAGTGCTCTAACCACTAAACTATAGGACTCCAAGATGGCATTTAAAGACAGTGGAGTGGGCAAAGAGACAGAATGGTAGAGGGAAACAGGGTAGGGACTGAGTGGTAGAGGGTGGAAGGGAGTTTACAGAGACTAAGGCCACAGGAGCTGAGGGTTCAGCCACTGATGGTGACAGAGTGGACAACAACAAATTACATTAACATAGCCAGTCAGGAGGATGGGAGGATGCACAGCAAATGCAAGTCAGCTGAGCGGAGGAGTGGGGTAGAGATCATCGGAGAGATCGAGAAAAAACTGTTGGAATGAATGGGCGTGAGGAAGAAAGGAGAGCTGGGGAGATCGCACCGCGGGATGGAAACTCAACAATTAGTATCTTTAATTTCATTTTTATTTTAATGTGGAATCACAGGGCTAGAGCCATACAGTAGTCATTTCCTTCCGCAAGCACAGCTTGCTCACAACATTGGTGGGAAATACCGCAAGCCATATCATGGCCTCAAATAATCTCTTACTCCATTTGCACCTTTTGTCAGTTGCAGACCAGAAATCAGACATTTAATAATAATTAAACGCAAAATACTGTAGATGCTGGAAATCTGAAACTGGGGCATGTTGGCAGGGAGAGGCTTTTAAGGGCTAACAGAGAGGGGGGAGGCAGGGCAAGGAAGATAAAGGAGAAAATGGGGTAGAGGACAGTGGATAATGGGTTAAAGAGGTGTTAATGATGCAAAACAAAGGTGGGGGGGGATTGCAACAAAGCAGGTGAATAGAGGTGCCAACATGCCCCAGTTCTGACGAAGGGTCGTGGACCCGAAACATTGACTCACTTTCCTTTCTCCGTAGATGCTGCCTGACCTCCTGAGTGTTCCCGGAGACTTCTGTTTTTGTTTTAATAATAACTTATGTTTGGAATTATTTTTCAATATAAGCATCCCAATCATGATATGAGAGGAACTCCCTTCTTTCTTCAGATAGCACCACAGTATCTTTAATGTCTACTCGAACAGACAAGGTCAGGGAGCTCAGGGACGCATCTCGGAAATGCAGCTCTCTCTCACCTCCTCCCACCGTACCCCTCCAACCCAGCACTGGAGCACCAGCCTAGACTGTGAGCCTGACGTGGAGGCTTGAACCCACAACTTTCTGAGCCAGCCAGAACCAAGAGCATTGGAACTAAGCGAGCGGATAAGAACAAAAGAATTGCTAAACAAAATCGGTGAGCAAAAGGATCACAATATCATTTGGGATGAGGAAAGCACCTTTGAGAGAGTCTCTGTCACTCTGTACGTCACAAGCTCAGCCAAAACAATAAATAAATACATAAATAAATACCTTTACATCTTTAAAGAGTAAATGGAGCCCGTTGCGCCATTTCGGCCCATTGTATCTGTGTTGGATTTTTAGAGAATCCTTTCAGTCCCATTTACCTGCCCTTTCCCATACCCCTGTAGTTGATGCCTTTTAAATCCTAGATTAAAAGTCGCCTGTTGCGGTTATGGTTGTGTCGCCCACAGTTTGACTTTTTGCATTTTTTCTATAAAAAAAGCAAACGAAAGAGAGCGGGGTGTAAAATAGATAGATAAATAAATAAATAAATAAAATGCCTCAATATTTTGTTCACAGGAGGAACATAGGAATGGGAAGAGACCATTCAGATGCTCGAGCCTGTTCCGCCATTCTATGAGATTGTGGCTGATCTGTACCTCCTTTGCTACATATCCCTTGATACCCTGACCTAACAAACATCTATCCACCTCAATCCTGAAAATGTGAATCGATGGTAACCCTGTCTTCTCCCTCTGAACAATCAGCTGTGTGGGGAATAGGGGAGGAAGAGAGACAACCCATGCTCAGATTCTAACCAGCTACGAAAACTTGGTAAAATACACATGTGGAAACCCATCCCCATGCTTAACAGTATCCAAACCAAACTGAGATTTCCATATATCCCACCTACACATGGAAATCCCAGAGATAGATTGTTGGAATGGAATGCGCACTCTCTCCCTGGAGGGAAACATCCTGCTTAACTAATTTACAGGTAAGCATGTTTTCTAAGCTGGTCATAGAAATTTACAACACAGAAGAAGACTATTCAGCCCATTGCATCTGTGTTGAATCTTTTAAAGAGAAATCCTTTCAGTCCCATCTACCTGCCATTTCCCATACCCCTGTAGTTGATTCCTTTTAAGTCCTAGATTAATCCGCAATAAGTTAATGTTTTTTTGTTTAATCGACAGGTAATTTGACGTCAAACTGATCAAAATACCACCAACTTGGTTAAATAAATTAACTGGATAAGTAGAAAAATATAACTTGAATTTTTAATCTTGCCGAAAGCTCTCAAAGTGCATTGCCGGCATTTATTGTTGGTGTAGTGACTGCGTTTATAGGCAAGCATGGCAGCAATTTTGCTTACCCAATTATTATTAGTCAGTCAGGTGTCCACATGTGGAAAGCCATCACCGTGCTTAACATTTATCCAAACCAGGCACAGAGAATTCCATGCATCCCACCTTCACATAGAAATTCCTGCATCTTGGAATGGTATGTGCACTCTCTCTCCAGAGGGAACCACTCTGCTTACCTAATTCTGGTGAATATGAGCCATGAGAGCCAAGGCTCTTGGGGGTGGGGGGGAGGGAATCCCAGAGTATGCCTGGAGGAGGGGTTAACTGCTGGAGTTTAACCAGCTAAAACCACATAGCTTGCCATTGAGAGCACTATCTGGCAAACTCTTTGGAAATGCTGCCTTTAACAAGGAAACTGGGATAATGTGGGAGCCAATCCATTTATGGAATACACAGTCACTACACTTCACAATAAAATCCCGTGAAGGGCTTTGAGACACGATATGTCACGGCGTCAAGGATTGTTATAGCTTAACTGATCATGCCAGGTTCTAAACAAAACACTCGATAAATAAAAGAATAAATATTAAATACATTATTATTCTGTTGCAAGCAAATTACTGCATAATAAATAGAATTCGATTGAGTTTTGACTATATGATCTCAACAAATTAATTAGTGACTATTCTGAACAAGAAAGCTTAACTGAACTGTGTCTATCAATTGTGTGTTGATAAAGAAGTTTATAGTTAAAATAAAATGTAAATATCTGTCGGTATGTTCTGTCTGGTTTGTGGATCTGCCTTGTTGGAATGAGTTCGGACATTGATCGGTCTAAAATGCACGAGGGGCTGAGTTCATCAGCTATTAGCCCAACCTGCATTTTACGCACTTGTATCTTGTGTATTTATATTTGTGCATGGGGTGTGAATGTGTGTGAGTGAGTAAATGTGTGTCTGAGTATGAAAGAGTGAATATTTTTCTGTTCATTGTTTGCTGTGACTGAGTTGATTGTGAATGAATAAGTGTGAAGGAGTGGGTTATACTCTGTTGTGACCGAGCTGAGTGTGTGTGTGTTTGTTTCTGTTCACACTGCTGTGACCGAGCTGACTGTGTGTGTATGTGTGTGGGAATGATTGATTGAGTGAGTATGTGTGTGTGAGTGTGAGCAAGTGTTTTTCTGTTCGCTCTGTGCTGTGACTAAACTGACTGTGTGTGGGTGAGTGATTGTGTGTGTGTCCGAGTGATTGTGTTTGTGTCCGAGTGATTGTGTGTGTCCGAGTGATTGTGTGTGTCCGAGTGATTGTTTGTGTCCGAGTGATTGTGTGCGTCCGAGTGATTGTGTGCGTCCGAGTGATTGTGTGCGTCCGAGTGATTGTGTGTGTCCGAGTGATTGTGCGTGTGTGACTGTGCGTGTGTGTGAGTGATTTTTGTCTGTGTGACTGTGTGTGTGTGACTGTGTGTGTGTGGGTGACTGTGTGTGTGTGGGTGACTGTGTGTGTGTAGGTGACTGTGTGAGTGACTGTGTGTGTGTGTGTACCTGAGTGTGTGTGAGTTTGTGTCTGTTTGCTCTGTGCTGTGACTGAGCTTCTCAATGTCGTACATTGCATGTTTGGTAGATGCTCCATTCGCTCCAGGGGGAGTTCAGGAAACTGTCCTTGGCTCGGATGCAAATCTTCACAGCCTTACACTTGTGCACCTGAACACCCTCCATACTGATGCCCTCTTGTATCTTCTGTTTTCCCCACATGTAATTAAAAATAAAATCATCATCATGACAAGAACATCAACTCACACTCCAATTCCCTGCCCATTTCACTCTCCTTTCACACGTCAGTGAACAGGGACTCTTCCCTATTAGCTCCTGTTAACCCTGCAAGCCAAAGCCCTAACGGGTAGGGTGGTTCTGGCTGTATAAGCAGCAGGAAAGCTTGGCAGACACCGATACCAATGGCAAGCTATGCGGGTTTAGCTGGTTAGCAGTTACCCCAACGCACACTCTGGGGTCCCCAAGCCTTGACTCTTGCCAACCTGTGCCCAATACTCTCTGGAATTAGGTAAGCAGAGTACATCCCTCCAGGAAGTGAGAGGAAGAGTGCACATTCCATTATCCACACAGGAAAATAAGCTTAGAAATCTATTAAGAAATAACCCAGGAATCCCAACCTCCACCTATCGCTGAACTTTCATATCTCCTTCAGGCTTCACTTACCGTTTTGTTCTTCGAGGA